GGGGTCGCCATGACTACAACACAAATATAGACATTTTATTTACTATCCAGAACCACCAGTGAACCTACACGAGTCTTCTGAGTTTATATGGAATGTTGATGATGGAAAATAGTGGAAAATCTGAAATAATAAGTTTTCTTTGGGGACTATTTTGCCTCACAACACCCTGCATGTTATGTATCCCTCCACCATGAATGGAGTTTAAGGCAAAAATCTTCTCCAAACTATCATAAAACAGTGTCTCAGTCATCAGGCAGTGAATTCATAACCATTTCATGTAGGAACTTTCTGTGAGGGAGCTTTTAGAGGTGGACGTCTGGTTCCTATCACCACCACTGTGAACAGTTCTCATTCTGTAAGTTTCTCTTGAGCGGAGCGTTTCACACCAAACCACTCTGAACCTCTCTGTTTAACCAATTAATTATGCAGAGATTTTGAAAAATCAGTTTATTTTGTATTAATGTGGCAAGTTATTAAAACTATTTGACTGTTAATGGATTAATCTTTGACTGTTATGTTGCTTGGAAACCACAGCTGACTGTTACAATGTGTTACTGTCATTTTACTTCACATTGGCCTAACGATACCCCTCAAACATGGTCAGTCCAGTTTCACACACAGTTTACAGTAGATTATTACTTTATTATTGTACTGTAAAATTATAATATTCCTTGTCATAAACTTTTTAATTCACCAAATGTACAAGAATGAAAATATAGAAACAATGTATAGAATACAGACCCAAAATTATCTACATACATATACAGTGGGTGTCATGTATGATTGTATTTTAAGTATTAAAGTTGTTTACAGTTACAAGGTATACACAAAATAACAGAAATCCCACATTAAAACTCATATTCCCAGGTCATTTTATCAGAAACATTTACCATATAGAAGCAGTTTGAGTGTTTGTAAAACATATCTTAAGGGAAGAAAGTACTTTTTTAGCATTTCAAAGGGTAACGTCATTTTCTTTATGGTGTACCTCAGGGTTCTGTACTAGGCCCACTGTAATTTGATTGTACATGCTACGTTTAGGTCTTATTTTTAAAGAGCATGGGGTCAGTTTTCATAGCTACTTGTAATTACATCATGTATTTAGATATTATGCTTTATATAAGTATGGGATCTATACAGGGGGGTGTACACAATAATGGAAACACAGCAGGAAATACTTCTACTCATTAGCCGTTTTATCCAAAATACCTACCATATGATGCCCTTTGTATGTTTACAGTTACCGACTGTAGTCCTGTTACTGTTTTTCTACCCTCTAAAAATTTGATAGGCTTCTCTAAAACTGTTTTAAAGTGATTTCAAGCATATCTTATATACAAAACGTGATTTTCTTTAGGGTGTACCTCAGAGTTCTGTACTAGGCCCATTTTTTTTCATTGTACAGACCAGACTAAAGGATGCTAACACAAACTGCGCTTCAACAGATGATGTACAGTCTCTAACTACACACCAGCAAGAGAGGGGTTTCCAATAAAGTGACCACACCACCATGTCAGGGTCACTGCTGTGCTGAGAATGGTTCCACCACCCAAATAGCATCTGGTCAGTGGTGGTCCACTTGTGGTCCCTGGTAAACTGTGCAGTAACAGATGGGCTACAGTCGACAACCGTAAACGTGCTCCTTTATGGTCGGTGTTTCTGGAGTCTTTCAAGTGGGGTTTCCGTTATTTCGTCCCCCTCCTGTATGTACATATATCATGTAAATGCGCATATATGCAGCTGGTCAAAGAAGAGGATTGTGGGAAGAGTCCTTGTTTAGGAGGATTATGGACTGTGGATGTATGATGTACACTGTGTTATATAAAAATAAACACTGAATCGAGCTTCGGTAGACGGACACCGAGGACACCGAGGACACCGAGGAGGGAAAAAGTGAAGAGGACGTTTCTGTTTGCACAGCAGCGAATTGTCTGTCATATGAACTGAAAATGTCTCACATCTGTGTCTCTCTGTGAGGTCTGTGGTAGCATTGTGTGTTTTCTCCCGTTAAGCTCTTGTCTTTGTGCTTGTGCTTCAGTAAATCCTCTAAAAACAGGATTAACTTGGCTTCAAATGCTTCCCACTGATGTCATCTGAATTAATTCCACTGAGATGCCGTCTCTCCTGGTCAGACTGAAAAACTGTAACAAACACAAAAACCCTGCATATCTGGGTCAGTTCGCCAAAAACAGCCTTTAGATGGAGAATCGGGGGGACGGCGGCGCTGCGGGTCAGTCCGAGGCAGCTCGTTAGCCAAGAGGGTTTGGGGTTAAAGCAGCATCTACAGCGCTGACCTGCTTCAGCGGATGACCGCTGATGTAAATAAAAGCTTTAGTATCCTCTTACGGCGAACACTGACCCCCACAAAGTCCCAAAAGCTGTAATGATAGTGCTGAGCGATGACGATCAGCTCCAATGTCACGATAAGACAACATTAATAAAGTTAGCATCAAAAACAACGAGTTAGCGTAATAAAGCTAAGCTAAGATTAATATGGCTAATACGTTAGCTTAATAAAGCATGTTAGCATTAATAAAGTCAGTAAGTTGGCATAAAAGTTAGGTTAGCATTGATAAAGTTAGCATTAAAAAGTTTAGCAAGTTAGCATTAATAGTTAACTATAATAAGGTTAATAATTTGGCTCAATAAAGTAAGTTAGCATTAATAAAGTTAATAGGTTAGCATAATAGTTATGTTAGCGTTAACAAAGTTAAGTTAGCATTAATAAAGTCAATTAGTTAGCTTTAACAAAGTTAAGTTAGCATTGATAAGGTTAATAAATTAGCATAATGAAGTCATTAGCGTCAATAAAGCAAGTTAGCATTAATAAAGTTAATAAGTTGGCATAATAGTTATGTTAGCATCAAGTTAGCATTAATAATGTTAATATGTTAACATTAATAATGTAAAGTCAGCATTAATAAAGTTAGAAGGTTAATAATTAAGGTTATTAAGGTTAATAATTTACTGTAAAAAAGAATGTTAGCATTAATAAAGTTAAGCATTGATAATGTTAATAAGCTAGCATTAATAAAGTTAGCATTATAAAGTGAGTTAGCATTGACAACGTAAACAAATTAGCACAATGAAGTTAGCATTAATAAAGTAATTTAGCATTGATAAAGTTAATAAGTTAGCATAATAGTTTTGTTAGCATCAATAATGTTAAATTAGTATTAATAAGATTGATAAGTTAATAAAGTTACCATGAATAAGGTTAATAAGTTAGCAAATAAAATAAGTTAGCATTAATAAACTAAGTTAGCATTAATAAAGTCAATAAATTAGCACACAAAGTAACCTGGCATTAATGAAGTTAATAAGTTAGTATAGAGGGCGCTAGAGGGCGCTCCTGAGCGAGTCCAAAATGAATGGGTTAATATGGAGCATTTGAGCAAAATCATAGTTTATAAATGCTGAAACATTTTTAATGTAAAAGAATACAATAATTTTCTGAACACAGAGCAGCATAAAACATGTTAACACTGCTGTTATATTTTTAAGAGCTTTTAAACTCGAGTTATAGGAGTTTAAAACAGCGCCTCATGTACGTTCATGACATCAGTGAGCGCAAACAGCCAATGAGCTGCTCCGCTCGCCAACCAATCATCACACTCTAGCAGTAAAGCCCGCCTCCTGCTGCCCAAAACCCGTTTACTGTAGAATAAAGGAAACATACAGGTGAGTTTTCTTTGTTTTTTTAGTGAAATCCATCCTTCTACTGTCTAAAATTGAAGGAAAGTTCTGGTTCAGTGATTAAAAACTATTTTAACTTTCCATTTTTAGCCATTCAGCTCCCATTCATTGAGGACTCACTCGCGGGCGCCCTCTGCTGTTTAGCAGTCCTGTTTTTGATATAACGAGGGAAATAGGAAGAGGCCAGACTCCTCATAAACCGGCTCTGGTATGATAACGTTAAATAAGCATTAGCTTCATCAGTTTAAAGCAAAGTAAAATATATACAAATTTAGAGTCTTTTCAGTTTTCTGAAGGTTTCCTGTAGAATATTAAAACAACGCTACAATGTTAAACCAAACTATCAAACCTAAAAATGATTTTAGCTGTTTTAGTGATTAATTGTTTGTTTTGGTGTTTCATCATTTTGGTTACATAGACAAACTACCCTGTACCACAGACGGGTTAATAAAAGGGTGTAAAAACAGAACTTTACAAACCTAAAAGTAAATTGTGTGAAATAGTTTGGTAAAATTAACAAGTTAGAAACTGTCTAAATAAATAATCCGATGAAACGAAAGCGAAGTGTCTCTGAAATAATTTGCTGAAATTAGCAGCACTGTGTAAGTATTTCTTAAAGGGGAATTCCATTAATTTTTCAAAATATCTCTGTAATTAAATAATAAAGATGTAAACAGAGTCGTTCGGAGTGGTTTAGTGTGAAACGCTCTGTTCTAGAGAAACTGACCGAGTCAGAACTGTTCACAGTGGTGGTGATAGGAACCAGACGTCCACCTCTAAAAGCTCCCACACAGAAAGTTACTACATGAAATGGTTATGAATTCACTGCCTGATGACTGAGACACTGTTTATGATAGTTTTGTGATAAAATGTATTTTTAAAATGAATTCATAGTGGAGGGACACATGCAGGGACAGTAAATAAAATGTCTATATTTGTGTTGTAGTCATGGCGACCCCTGGTTCCTATCACCACCACTGTAAAGACATCTAAACCATTTGACACCAAACCACTCTGGATCTCTCTGTTCACACTCAATTATGCAGAATTTTAGAAAAAAACCCTTAAAGTACAATTTTACCGTGTTTACATTGTGTAGAATTTTGGGAAAATGGGTGGAATTCCCCTTTCAGATGAATTTTATTCAAAGTGTAAACGGCGCCGCCTCGTGGCCTGTAGGAAAAATGACACGTGAACGGCTTGAACGTGGCTGGCCAATCAGATTCGCGTTCCGGAAAGATGTGTCATTACAAACTGACCAATCAGAAGCCGAGGCTCTGCGCGTCACGTGCTCAAACGGAGCTGAGGAGTTTAGAGAAAAAGCGAAGAAGCGGCCGCTTTGTGCTCAGATTGACTTCAAAACAGCGTTAAAAGTCCGTATTTGGACCCATCCGGTCCGCTTAGCGTCCAGAACCAGCGCGGATTTCAGTAGCGGTCAGTTTCGGGTGAGTCACTGCAGCTTATTGGCTTCAACGGACAAAGTTACTTATATAATTTAAGACGAAGCTGAAGTCGCTTCTTATTCGCCAGCGTCTTGCTCGAATTCGGCCGTTCCACCTTAAATAGTGCAGCAGTTCCGTTCTGATGCCTGAGGCGCCAGAATGTAACTGCTGCACCATTTAAGGTGGAACGGGAAAATTCGAAAAAAGGCGCTGCCGAACAGGAAAACCAACTTAAGCCTCGATAATTTGAAGTTATTATAATAAACTAACATCAAATAACTTCTAACTTCTAAATAACGTCTGTATAACCGCACTGATCAATCAGAAATATTGGAAAAAGTTGACTTTATCAGTATCATATAACATTTTCTCGTTAGATTTTTCTATTATCGTTAAACTACGGAGCCCCGCTGGTGACATCCTGTATAAATAAAAATAATGCGTGGCCACGACTTAGCAAGGCGTGGGAATGAGATGATTAGGTCGTGGCCACGACTTAGTAAGCCATGATCTCGTTCCCATGCCTTACTTACGGAGCCCCGCTGGTGACATCCTGTATAAATAAAAATAATGCGTGGCCACGCCTTATTAATGTATGGGAACGAGATCCTAATGCATGGCCATGACTTAGTAAGGTGTGGGAACGAGATCACGGTTTACTAAGTCGTGGCCATGCATTAGGATCTCGTTCCCACACTTTACTAAATCGTGGCCACGCATTAGGATCTCGTTCCCACGCATTAATAAGGTGTGGCCACGCATTATTTTTATTTATACAGGATGTCACCAGCGGGGCTCCATACTTACTAAGTCATGGCCTGACTTAATCATGTCATTCCCATGCCTTACTAAGTCGAGGCCACGCATTAGGATCTCGTTCCCACGCGTTAATAAGGTGTGGCCACACGTTAATTTTATCTATACAGGGTGTCCTCATCAGGTCTCCGTATTAAACAGCATCATTCAGAACCTTATTTTATGTATCGCTGAACCTGAACATGTGTTGTGGTTCTTTTATGAAACCTTTTTGGAAATGGTTCTGTGTAGCTAGCACCAGAAAGGGTTCTGCTATTTACATTGTTGTGTTGTTTACATTGTCAAGCTTGTAACAACCCTATTTGGTGCTGCGTAGAACCATACACGACACATCCTCCATCAGTCTGAAGAACCATTTTATCATGTAAGCAACGATTTAGGCATGCAAAGGGTTCTATATGGATCTCATGGTTCTAAATAGAACCATTGCCCTTACTGAAGTACTCTTGAAGAACCATCTTTAAGAGTGAATATTAATAGATGGATTATTGTTAAGGAAACAGATATCGGCTTTTTTTGTGTTGAACTGCTGAGCATAGTTAACGCCCCTTTGGTTGACCTCTCACCTCTCAGTTTTGCCTCATGACCATCAGCCTTGAAGGGGAATTCCACAAATTTTTCGAAATTTCTCCATAACTCAGTGTGTGACATGTAATCAGAGTGGTTTGGTGTGAAATGGTTCAGATGTCTTTACAGTGGTGGTGATAGGAACCAGGGGTCGCCATGACTACAACACAAATATAGACATTTTATTTACTATCCAGAACCACCAGTGAACCTACACGAGTCTTCTGAGTTTATAAGGAATGTTGATGATGGAAAATAGTGGAAAATCTGAAATAATAAGTTTTCTTTGGGGACTATTTTGCCTCACAGCACCCTGCATATTACGTATCCCTCCACCATGAATGGAGTTTAAGTTCTCTAAACTATCATAAAACAGTGTCTCAGTCATCAGGCAGTGAATTCATAACCATTTCATGTAGTAACTTTCTGTGAGGGAGCTTTTAGAGGTGGACGTCTGGTTCCTATCACCACCACTGTGAACAGTTCTGACTCTCAGTGACTTTGTTTACATCTTAACCATTTAACTATGCAGAAATTTTGGAAAATTGGTGGGGTTCCCCTGTAAGTGTATCTCTGTCTGACCTTCTTAGAAGTCATGAATGGAGAAGTAAACTAGAGATTAATATCACAGCCTGCAGGTGGATAATAACCCAGATAACTCACTGATAATCAGATTATCTCAGAACATAATCTGACATTTTTCAAACTGAGTCAGTTCTACAGTTTCTCATTAGGCTGAATGAATAACTGACTCTAAATGTAGGTATTGTGATATAAACCGAGTCTGTTCTACAGTTTCTCATTAGGCTGAATGAATAACTGACTCTAAATGTAGGTATTGTGATATAAACTGAGTCTGTTCTACAGTTTCTCATTAGGCTGAATGAATAACTGACTCTAAATGTAGGTATTGTGATGTAAACTGAGTCTGTTCTACAGTTTCTCATTAGGCTGAATGAATAACCGACTCTAAATGTAGGTACTGTGATATAAACTGAGTCAGTTCTACAGTTTCTCATTAGCCTGAATGAATAACTGACTCTAAATGTAGGTATTGTGATATAAACCGAGTCTGTTCTACAGTTTCTCATTAGGCTGAATGAGTAACTGACTCTAAATGTAGGTATTGTGATATAAACTGAGTCTGTTCTACAGTTTCTCATTAGGCTGAATGAATAACCGACTCTAATTGATTTGATGTTTTGATGTTCTGATGCAGGTTTTGTGAAGCTGAGTAAAGCCTGAGGCTCTGGACAGAGATGAGTGACCTAGAACCGCCGACGTTTTCCTCTGTGGAAGAAGAGCGGGATTACTGGAAGGAGCAGGCAGCCAACCACCAGCAGAGGTGAACGAGCAGGATCTAACATGACGACTTAATTCGACTTTGATTCACCTCACTGTATTAAAATAAATATGTAAATATTTATTAAAGTTTCAAAACATACCATTCACTCCCCAAACCATACAGTCCATATATGCAAACTAAGCTACAAAAACAGCCTGTTTTTAATGTTTATCTCAGAAAAAGCAACACATTTACATACGGCTGGGCAATAAAACAGTATATATTCTTATCGTGATAAATTATGTTACAGTACAATGTTTTTCTGAGCATATTGTGGACATCGTCAGTGTTTGTCTGTACGTGTCTTTATAAAGAGAGCAAAATTAGTCCCGTTTAACTGGATTTAGTGCCAAATATTTAATAAAAATCATTGTGTTGAGAGTTTTTGGTAGTATTTATTAAATGTAGCACTGCTGGTTCTTTTTTCTCTGTTCCAGCTGATCTGATATCTGAAATAATAAATATCGGGACATTGTGTATCGTGGAAATTTCTTGAAGTATCGCGATATTACATTTTTGTCATAACGCCAACGTCTATTTACATATATCCACCTATAGAAGTTTAGCTCCGCCCACTCACACTGAAGTTATAAGCAGTGTTTCTGCCTGGATTAATTCACCAACCTTTAACCCTGAAGATCAGCGCAGACTGCTGGTCTCCATAGCAACACAGACAACAATCTCGTCTAGCTAGTAACTACGAAACAGTATAGAGAGAGATTTAAGATGAACATCGATAATTTGGAGATGAATGGACTGATTAGTGTTTATAATCACTCCAGCTGGTTTCCTGATACGTTTAATCTGCAGTGAGAAACTGACAAACACTAAAAAGTCGCGAAGTTGAAGTTGCTTCTCATTCGCCAGCTTCTTGTTTGAATTTTCCCATTCCACCTTAAATGGAGCAGCAGTTACATTCTGGCACCTCAGGCACCATTTAAGGTGGAACGAGAAAATTCGAACAAGAAGCTGGCGAATGAGAAGCGACTTCAGCCTCATAAAGAGTCGAACGTTGAGAGACGTTTTACAAGAAACTGTTCAACTTTTGAGGAAAAGTTTCCTGCTGGAGATGCGAGAAAAGCAGCTATAGCTGAGCTAAAGCTTAAAGCAGAGCGAAGTAAGTCTGTGTTTTCGTTTATATTTTTTAGTCTATATTAGTTCATCATTACATACTGAGACACATTTACAGCCAAGATGGTAAACTGGACATAAAATGTTGTGGCTCCCAAAGTGGTTTGAACTTGTTGAAAGGACAAAATGGCTCTTTTTAACATTTGGGTTGCGACCCCTAATATCGGCCCTTAACAGGGTCTAAAATTTGCCAGTGTGTATTAAAAGATATATCAATTAAATTATGAATAACATTAAGACCCAATGTAGACAAACTTGGACAGAACATATTAACCTGTATAGAGAACCTTTGAAAAGAAATGCAGTTGAATTTATAATGAAATCTTTGTTTTTTTTGTTGTTTTTAAACATCTCTGTCAGTCGCTGCTGCTTCACTCTGGCTGTATGTGTGTGTCTGTGTGTTCAGGGCTGAGGAGGTTCAGGAGGAGCTGCAGGAGTTCCAGCAGATGAGTCGTGACTATGAAGTGGAGCTGGAGACGGAGCTGAAGCAGTGCGAGACTCGAAACCGAGACCTGCTCACGGCCAACAACCGGCTACGCATGGAGCTGGAAAACTACAAGGTACTGAGACGGGGATTACACCTGTGATTGACTGGGGATCCTTAAAGGTATCATACTTGTTTCGTGTGCCACGTGAGTTTATATGGAATACTGATGATGGGAAATAGTGGAAAATCTGAAATAATAAGTTTTCTTTGGGGACTATTTTCCCTCACAACACCCTGCATATTATGTATCCCTCCACCATGAATGGCTTTTAAACATCGCAAAACTGCTGTAAAACTTCGGCCACTTTTCCACCATCGAGCCAAATGGTTTTCAGGGCCGTACTGGGCCGTTCCACGCTGGCCCGGTTTCTTTTTCTATCTACTGTACTGCTAAATCAGAACCAGGAAAACTCAAGAGAAGTACACAAACGAATGGCTAACTGCTAACAGCCGCACACACCACCCACCACAGAACACGTTTGATTCCGTCTGACACTTTAACTCCAGTCTCTCTCCGTATTCTCATCTTCTTTATCCTCTAAATGGGGGTTATTTAAGCATCTGTTACTGAAACAGCCTGTAGCTTGATAACTAGCTACATTAGCATTAGCATCGCCTGGCAGAGTTCAGCTCAAAGCAGCACAGAACAATAATATTTTAATCTTTGTCACTTCAACTCCAGACATTCGAAATCTGTGCTCTCAGATACGAGTCTTTATCCTCTAAACGGGTGTTTTTAATCATCGGGTCACTGGAACTGAGCTCGTCCTGCAGTGGGAGGCACTGCGCACTCGCGTTAGCTTAGCCTAGCAGGCTACAGCTTAAAGCTCTAACAGAACAGGTTCGATTTCGGTTTTCTGTCACTCCAACATCGATCGATCAACTTCGCTGTTGTAAGTTTTTATCATCTATACCTGTGATAGCAGAGCAGTTAGTCGAATTGAACCTGCACTGGGGTGTTTGAATCCCTTTAGCTAAGCTAAGTTAACCAGGAGAGAGGAGCCCGTTAGCATTAGCTTAGCTAGGAGGCTCCAGACACCAGAGAAGAGGTTTGATTTCAGCTTTCTGTCCTTCTAACATCGGCCGCTCGACTTCGCTTCCTCAGATTTGAGTCATTATCATCTAAACTTGTGTCAGAAAATCTTCTGTTAGTCAGAGTCGAACGTGTTCTGTGGTGATCAGAGCTGGCAGCATGCTAGCTAAGCTAACGCTAACCAGCTGCTCTCTCCTGGTTAGCAGCACTGTTTAATGTTTAGAAATTAATGTTAGATTGAAGCTTTGATGTTTACTGAATGGTGGGTTTGAAATCGTGCACTGCTTTTGTTTATTTGCCGTTCGTGTGAACGAATCAAACTTATGAGATTGATTGAAGTTTTCAGGTTTGAAATAGAGCAGCAGGCAGCTGTGGCACAATATCGACTTAAAGATAGCTATTCACTGATTAGTTCTACGTCGTTCTGTCATCCCACCGATCGGTTCTGTGGCCCGAGTACGGTTAGCTAACCATGCTGGGGGACAAAAACCAGATTAAGCCCGTTTTTAAGTGTTCCGTGTCGAACCGTGTCCGTCTGGAAACGCCACTGGAACGGTCACTCTCCGCGCTCAGAACCGTTCAGCCCTGCAGTGGAAAAGAGTCCAGTGTCTCAGTCATCAGGCAGTGAATTCATAACCATCTCATGTAGTAACTTTCTGTGAGGGAGATTTTAGAGGTGGACGTCTGGTTCCTATCACCACCACTGTTCTGACTCAGTAAGTTTAGAACGGAGCGTTTCACACCAAACCACTCTGACTGACATCTTAACCGTTTCATGATGCAGGAATTTTGAAGAATTGGTGGAATTCCCCTTTAACCTTATTATACCACATTTTTCGCTGGTTGATGTGGTTTAGGCTTGAATTACTTTTTACATTGCAAAGACATTCATTGGATCATTTTTGTCTAGGAAGCAATAATCGGTCAGCTTCCTTCATATTTGGCTGCTTTCATATCGACAAATAAGTCTCGATACAATTTGGGTTCTAGGAGTTCTATTCAGCTGGACGTTCCGGTAGTGTGGTCTGAATACGGCGAGGCAGCTTTTAGGCTACGTTTACACAGCAGGTAAAAGTGGCCCAAATCTGATCTTTTTCCTCATATGTGACTCAGATGTGTGGCAGTGTTAATAGATAAACACACTGAATCTGACATTTTCAATTCCGATTTGAGGCGCTTTCATATGTGGTACTGAAATCCGATACGTATCCGATCTGCAGCAGTGCGACTCAGTTTGAACAGCCGGATCGGAATTCATGCGACTTTTACGCCAATCCAACTCCACATTCGTCACAATTTCGCGCTGCTGAGACTCAAAAACATTTAGTCTGATGTTTCTGTACTAAAACAATAGAAGAGACTCATCAAACCCTCCGAGTTCGAAGAGGTTTCGAAAGAAACGGTTTCATATGTGGTACTGAAATCTGATACGTATCCGATCCAACTCGACGTTCGTCATAATTTTGCGCTGCTGAGACTCATGAACATTTAGGCTGATGTTTCTGTACCAAAACATTAGAAGAGACTCATCACAGCTGCCCCGTGTTCAAACGAAGGAGGAGGCCGAGGCTGCAGCGCCAGAACAGTTTAAAGAATCTGAGGACACGAACCAAAGAAGTGGCCGAGGCAGAATAGTGACCTTTTTACGGTGAACTCAAACATATTCTGGGTGATGAGTCCAGCTGTCAACCACTGGAACTTCATACTCGCTCCTGTGATGCTGGAGAAGACGAAACTGAAGCTGCGGGAGCGACTGGCGTTCACTGGCCGTCATGACTGTTTCACCTCTGGACGAGCCGCCATGTGAAGCTCTGTGGGTCAGTTTAGGAGCTGATCTGTTCAGACTGATGTTGCACACAGATCACATTTGAACAGCCAAACAACAAATCAGATTTGGTGAGAAAATCAGATTTGGGCCACTTTTACCTGCTGTGCAAGCGTAGCCTAAGTTACAGAGCTCCATCTGCATGGAATGATTTGCAAAAATATTTGAAATTGGAGGATTTTTATTCCTTGAGTGAATTTAAGACGATTTTTAAAGAGCTGTATTCTGTTTGTTCTTGTTTTTAATTTGGTTTTGACCCTGGTTTGATTCTGCTGGTGTTTCTTTGTTGATTGTCCTGTGTGCTGCCTTCTTGGCCACGACTCACTTGTAAAAGAGAGTGTGTTGTTTTTTTTTTTTTTTGTTTTTTATAATCTCAGTGTGATTGCACTGGTTAAATAAAGGTAAAATAAAATAAAATAAAAAATTAGCCTTGTAGCTCCGATCCTATTAAAGAAGCCACATCGAGACACCAAATATGTCTTAACTGACGGACTGTGGGAACTCTGTGAAATTCAGATTTTTTGCACATCACGTCCTTTAAAACTGGTCATGCCACATGCTGGTATGAAGCGCCGTGAGTCCAGATTTGAATGAAAAGAGTTTTTGTTCGTTCTTTGCTCTCTCTGCTCGTCCTGGACGCGGTTTCGCATCTGGGTGTGACTCCCATTTGACTCTGTACATTTCACTGGGTTTTATCTGGCTGGTCTGATTTGAATGTGTATCTCTAACGACGGAACGGCTGCGCGAACCAAACGGCTGGTGAAAATGGGCCGTTCTGTGCTGGTGGTTCTCGTAAATGTGTTTGTGTTTCAGTGTGCAGGACTTTGCTGAGGGCGGGGACAGTCACACACTCGGAGGGAAACAACAGGCCTGATTCAGGGACAGCAGAGCAGCTGATGCCTCGTCTGCATCAGTGTCTGGAGGGAAAGCACATTAGTGCAGACAGCAGACAGCACGTTTTCTTTTTATATCCCTCTGCAGGAGAGACGCCTGCTAGAGTATCAGTTTAGAGTGCAGGGATATCAGAGCTGGGCACCATGACGTTATTGATTATTATTGTGATGAATCGTGATGTGATGCAGTTTGCTTTTCTGAGTATACTGTGTATCAACAACACTTCCTAACTGATTAGGGAGCATAATTAGTCCTGGTCAACTGGATTTAATGCGGCATAGTTCGTTAAATGTTCAGTACAAATGATTGGTTTAACAGTGTTTGATAGCATTTTGAAAAAAAAGACACAACTTTATCTGTTCTAACTTATCAAATATCAGAAAAAAAGAAATATCGTGACTTGCCATATCGTCCACCTCTAAGTGAAATCCAGCTGCTTATACACTGATCAGGCGTAACATTCTGACCACCTCCTTGTTTCTACACTCATTGTCCATTTTATCAGCTCCACTTACTATATAGGTGCACTTTGTAGTTCTACAGTTACAGACTGTAGTCCATCTGTTTCTCTGATACTTTGTTAGCCCCCTTTTACCCTGTTCTTCAGTGGTCAGGACCCCCATGGACCCTCACAGAGCAGGTACTATTTGGGTGGTGGATCATTCTCAGCACTGCAGTAACACTGACGTGGTGGTGGTGTGTTAGTGTGTGTTGTGCTGGTATGAGTGGATCAGACACAGCAGTGCTGCTGGAGTTTTTAAACACTGTGTCCACTCACTGTCCACTCTATTAGACACTCCTACCTTGTCGGTCCACCTTGTAGATGTAAAGTCAGAGACGATAGCTCATCTGCTGCTGCACAGTTTGTGCTGGTCATCCTCTAGTCCTTCATCAGTGGTCACAGGACGCTGCCCACAGGACGCTGTTGGCTGGATATTTTTGGTTGGTGGACTATTCTCAGTCCAGCAGCGACACTGAGGGGTTTAAAAACTCCAGCAGGACTGCTGTGTCTGGTCCACTCAGACCAGCACAACACACACCAACACACCACCACCACGTCAGTGTTACTGCAGTGCTGAGAATGACCCACCACCCAAATAGTACCTGCTCTGTGAGGGTCCATGGGGGTCCTGACCACTGAAGAACAGGGTAAAAGGGGGCTAACAAAGTATCAGAGAAACAGATGGACTACAGTCTGTAACTGTAGAACTACAAAGTGGAACTGTATAGTAAGTGGAGCTGATAAGATGGATAATTAGGCTTGACTGAGGAATTACAGAATATGCCACTTGACAGATTATAAGTTATAATGTGTTATAAGCTTCAGTTGCTTCCAGTGTAAATGTTAAGTGTGGTAGTATTTAAAGGGTGGAAGGTGAACAGTTTCTCGTTCGGTTCATGCCTGTATGATGAATGGTGTGATTTTTAGGTCATCATTGTCGTCTTTGTGTTCTGATCCTGCAGGAGAAGTACGAGGCGCAGCACTCGGAGGCCTGCAGGCAGATTTCTGCTCTGGAGGGAGACCTCGCAGAGACCACCGCCATAAAGGACCAGTTACAGAAATACATCCGCGAGCTCGAGCAGGCCAACGATGACCTGGAGAGAGCCAAAAGGTGCACAATGACGAGAAAAAAAACGATTTTTTCACTGTTATAGTCCATTTTATGGTTCTAATTGTCTGGTTCTGCCTAATGCGATAGTCTGGCAGAAAACCTTCTGCTTCTCAGTTTTCACTAATTACTGGAAAGTGTACACTAAAAATGCACTCTCAGAAATAAAAGTACTAAACTGTCTCTGGGTCAGTGCCCCTCTTGTCACTGTGGTGGGACCCTCAAGGGTCCATCTCAGTACCTTTAGTCAGGGAACATAACTGAACCATAATCCACTGAAATGATATGTTCTAAGCTGTACTGACTCCACACACCCCGTCTCGTCTCCAGGCTTTTATTTTACTGTTCTGTTTTAAAACATTTGGTTATGAAAAGGTACAAATACGAACTTTTCACCTGGAGAAACTTATTTAAGGTTCACAATCAGACCTTAAAACCACTGTTGGACCTTTGAGGGAACATTTACACTGTTTGTACCTTGATGAACGAGAAACGTACCTGAACAGAATCCTTTATTTCTAACAGTGCACGTTATAAAAGTCTCTCTTTATCCAAACCCCAGTTAACAATACTAATAATAATGTTTATTTATGTAGCACCTTTCATACATTTAAAACGCAGCTCAAAGTACAATACAAAGTAAAATCAACAGAGGAAGAAGAGAAAAAAAGAATAAAAAATAAAAACAAAAAATGATAAATGGTAGAAAAGGGGGATATGTTAATAATTAGATGAAAGAAAAAGAGGAAAAAAGGCAATACAAGTGCAACTAACAAGACAATAAAAGAAATATTCTAGTAAAAACAAAAACAATAAAAAACTAGTTACTGAAATATGATTTTAACTGTTTTTAAAAAGATTGACAGAAGAAGTCTGACGGATGTTTATTGGTAATGTGTTCCAGATCTTTGGTGCACCGTTAACGAGACAAAATACAGCCTAATACATCTGATTTCTGAATTATGTTACATGACATTTTGCCATCAATAAGCTGGTGACCTTCATGGTTGTCGAATGTTATGAGTTGGTAACACAATACAGCTTTAAACTGCCGTTAATTTCTCATCTGATTGCTAATAAACTAAACTGAGCAGCTACTAAAGCACTGTCAAAATCACGAATGGTCCAAATAAAAGGTGAATTATTCTGTTAATTACACTCATAAACTCTCACGTTTATATAATAGCAAGTTCATATGTGTGCTGCACACCTAAACGTCTCGGGACATCGAAGCCGCTCCGTGTCTTATTTCGTAAACAGAGATAAACGTAGTAGGCAGTTCGGTCTGTGGCCAAACCACAGCTGTTCTGAGGTCGCTGCTGGTTGGGTCCCCTTGCTGTTTTCACACAATTTCAAAAACTCTTCCAAAACTAGCAGGACCTCAGTGTCCTCAGGTAGGGCTGAGCGATTTTTCTGACTGATACTGTAACTGTGATTTAAGTTGTGATTATTTTGTGTAAATCCAGGTCCAGGCCTGCTTTTTGTGTCAAAGAAAACCAGAATGTCCACTTTTTCTAGCTTGAGGCTTGACCCATGAATGCGGGGTGCCAGACAGTAAGTTGTGGTTGTGATGTCACAACACACACAGAGGTCTGGTTGCCTCTGATTGGTCTAACTCATCGGTTGAAACTGCGGTTCTTGTTATTTGATAATTGCGCTCTCTTAAATTGCGAATTTGATGTAAAATGATTGATCTTTCAGCCCTTTTAGTGCCCTTTCCACTTGGACTGGGCAGGAGCTGATGACAAACCGAAGGCTTGAGGCAATGACGGATGGCAACGGTTGCTAAGCAATGATTGGGGCGCTGAGAACAGAAGGCAGAGCTCAGTGTTGAGCGTAATAACTTAGATTGGCTGTAATACAGTGACGGCAGTCACAGAAAACAAGTAAAACTATTATTTTGAAAATTAATAAACATTTCCATCCCTATTTGACTGTATAGACCTGTGGCTGCACCTCTGAATAGACTACTGCATTATTAGTGCTGCTTCCACATTAAATCTCATGAATGGGAGATACATAAGGAATAAATATCTGCTAAAATAGGCTCTTAAACATCTCAAAGCCTGTATTTTGTGTTTGTGGATTTGGGCTAAGGGGAATATCGTGTAAGCGGTTTGATCTGTTGTATGTATGTCTGCATTATTTGACCTCTTTTAAAGGCCTTGTTAATACTGTTAATGTCTCTCAGGGCCACCATCATGTCCCTTGAGGATTTCGAGCAGAGGATGAATCACGTCATCGAGCGAAACGCTTTCCTGGAAAGTGAACTGGATGAGAAGGAGAATCTGCTGGAGTCGGTGCAGAGGCTGAAAGACGAGGCCAGAGGTGAGGCTGCTGAGCCCCAGATGCTCTTTAGCTTTATCCCTCAGTGCTGGGAGGCATTTTAAAGGGCCTTTATAACTGAAAAACATTCCTTCTCTTCTTTCTTCGAATGAGATGTATTATTTAACATTGTTGAAGTTTAAAGTGTGCTGTTCCCTCCAGCGAATACCAGGATCCATAGTCCGTATCAGGATCATATTACCGAATTGAATCAAAGTCAGAGTTCAGAACACATTTGGGACTTTGGAGAAAGGCTGTGTTCACATTACCAGGCTGAAGTGGCACAAATCTGATTTTCTGCCCTGATGTGACTCAGATCTGATGTTTTCAGGGCTGTGTGGACACAAATCTGATCTTTTCAAATCCGACCTCAGCCACTTTCATATGTGGTCCTAGATCGGATACGTATCTGATTCGTGGCCATGCGACCTTAATGTGACGCTCAGATCGGAATTCATGTGCTTTTTCTCCTCTGGGCGTGCGCCATCATTCAGCGTTACCATGGCAGCAGCGCCAAACAGAAGTTAAAGCCTGTAAACGGTGGAAAAGCAGCTCATCTCACCTTTTTTTCCTTCGTCTCGCTCTAATAATGAAGCTGAGAGCTGATCAGAGTTAATGATCTTCTCAGCGAAGCTCGTTCTGCTCGTTAGTTTGTGCTGATGATGCAGTGATTCATTCACGAGACGTTACTGAGTAGGATGAGCTCATGAGGGTCATTTCAGGACGCCGGTTCATCACATTAATGACAGATTTGACTCACCTAAACGAGTGTGAACCATCATGTCAGAGATCGGATTTGAGCAGTGAGGCTTGTAATGTGAACGTCTGCCTTCAGGTCCTCCTAGTAGGTCCCTACTTATGACTTCAGAGGTCATACGTACAACTTGATGTGTGTTCAGGTGGTTTTGGTTTGAAGTAAGATGGATAGACCGGACATTTTCTATCAGTAAAGAGCGTCTGTTTGTATTTTGCGTTACTGAAACAAAGTGAAGAGCAGAGGATGCTGATCAGCAGAGTGATGTTTTTATGCAGTTAGATGTGTCACAGTAAGTTGTAAGTTGTGATGCGCTTATATCTGAATTTCCATGTGTGGATGGTTTTAGCCTGCAGTGTTAAGATTGTGACTGATGAATTACTGAAGTACAGCCAGTTTATCAGCAGCTGTCATTGCTTTTTTGTTGATGCCCCCAACTTGGAAACTCAGGGCTCGTTGAAAAATCTGATTTTCTCACGAGTAAATATGACATTGTGGTGGCGTTCATGTGCATCCGTCTTAGGGCTGGGCGATAAAATGATAACGATAATCATCGCGATATAACTTTCCTCGATAGAGCTATACGACGTGTTCGATAAATGTTCGATATAATAGAGCATTCTCACACTTCCACCTGGTGGCGTTTTCTACTGCAAGGAAAGTGACACTGCTCTGCTGTCGCCAGGAGAGGGCGCACTTCCGAGTCTTTCAGTATGATTATAGAGGGAGGGGGCGACGAGTAAAATGAGTCACCAAATATACTTTATCAACGTCTGAAATATGGAGTTACACATTCCCTGTTTGAGTGGAGCGACCGGCGATCTGCTCTCCTGTGACCGAGTGTGAGTGACGAGGTCAGTGGTGTAACTGTACTGACCTACAGCGAACTCACCTCTTTCTGTACATCCTAACAGCTTTAGCAGCGTTAAATCACGTCTTATACTCACAACTACAGCACTGTTACAGCGCTCAGACATATTTTAGTATTAGTGCATTCACAAGCAATGAAAGTGAAAGAAAGAAGTGGTTCATGTTAATTACAGCCCGATTTAAACGAAAGTAAACTGAGGAAGCTGTGAGGCGTTGGAGAGTGGGAGAGCGCTATCGTCCCAGGCTAGCTGTTTTTAGCAGCTGGCTAACTTGAAGCAGCTCCGTCACTCACACAGCACGGCAAACTGATGATACTGTAGATCAAACAAGACACAAAAGCACTGATTGCAGTTTAAACGTACCTGAAAGGAGGACTCTGTCTGTCTGGTGTTGATATACTGCAGTTCACCCCTTAAACTACTAGAGAATAGAGAAACCCAGTCGTCTCTAACTGGTGTCCGAATACTGTGATGTGCTCTGATGTGGATGTGGTGGGAGTGACCGCAGTGAGGCGGTGTGATCCATCACTGACCTACTGATCCAGCTAATGTCTGCTGTTCGTACTAAGTTGACGTTGTTGAGAAACTAAACAGTTCAGCTCTGTTGTTGGCCACTCGTTCAGCATTTGTAGCGGGGTAGCCGAGCGCTCGTCACCAGGCAGCTAAAATAATCTGTTTTCTTTCTTAAATTATGACTATTACAAAAATTGCAGTGTTTGTCATGTTCTGACCATAAAGCATAGTTTAAAACAGCAACTGACCACTCAGGAGCAAAAATCAGCCTTCAAACTTAAAGAATGATCTGACATTTATCTCTATATTTATCGATATCGAACGATATGAATTTTGTTTATCGTGGTGACGTTTTTGGCCATATCGCCCAGCTCTAATCCATCTCGGAAATCTGATATGTCCGACAGGACTTAAAGGCAGGATATGTTTAGCTCTGTTTGTCTCGTGGTGTCTGAGATCTGGGAGTTTGGGTTCTTTGTGTGTGTGTGTGTGTGTGTGTGTGTGTGTGTGTGGTAACCGTACGGTTTTGTGTAATATTGTGTATTTGTCTGTGTGATGTGTATCAGATCTGAGGCAGGAATTGGCCGTTAAACAGAAGCAGGAGCGTAAACCCTCCCTCAGTGTTTCCGTTGATGGAGAGAAAGCAGAGACCCCAACCCGGACCCCTGGTGCCTCTCTCCTGACCACACCACCCAGACCCCCTGGCTCCAGCAGCGCCTTCCACACACCCCCATCGTCCTACAGTCGAAGTGAGTGTGCGCACACACATACACCCATCAGCCATAACATTCTGACCACCTCCTTGTTTCTACGCTCATTGTCCATTTTATCAGCTCCACTTACTATATAGGTGCACTTTGTAGTTCTACAGTTACAGACTGTAGTCCATCTGTTTCTCTGATACTTTGTTAGCCCCCTTTTACCCTGTTCTTCAGTGGTCAGGACCCCCATGGACCCTCACAGAGCAGGTACTATTTGGGTGGTGGATCATTCTCAGCACTGCAGTAACACTGACGTGGTGGTGGTGTGATAGTGTGTGTTGCGCTGGTACGAGTGGATCAGACACAGCAGTGCTGCTGGAGTTTTTAAACACTGTGTCCACTCACTGTCCACTCTGTTAGACACTTCTACCTTGTCAGTCCACCTTGTAGATGTGAAGTCAGAGACGATAGCTCATCTGCTGCTGCACAGTTTGTGTTGGTCATCCTCTAGTCCTTCATCAGTGGTCACAGCAAGCTGCCCACAGGACGCTGTTGGCTGGATTTTTTTGGTTGGTGGACTATTCTCAGTCCAGTAGCGACACTGAGGTGTTTAAAAACTCCACCAGCACTGCTGTGTCTGGTCCACTCAGACCAGCGCAGCACACACCAACACACCACCACCACGTCAGTGTTACTGCAGTGCTGAGAATGACCCACCACCCAAATAGTACCTGCTCTGTGAGGGTCCATGGGGGTCCTGACCACTGAAGAACAGGGTAAAAGAGGGCTAACAAAGTATCAGAGAAACAGATGGACTACAGTCTGTAACTGTAGAACTACAAAGTGCACCTATATAGTAAGTGGAGCTGATAAAATGGACAATGAGTGTAGAAACAAGGAGGTGGTCAGAATGTTCTGCCTCATCGGTGTATATACACACACGCACATTAAAGTGACCGTCTGCATAGTGTTCAGATAACACAGAGTCACGCTTTCACCATTAAGCTGGATAACGGGTTTATTCAGCAGCTTACCGCCGGCATTAAAACACATTTTTGGAAAATTGGAAATTTTGGAAAAATTTGGAAAACTTGTTTTTAAAGCATATTAATAAATATATTAGCATTACTTTTGCCATGTCCCTGCCAGCACACTAGCGTGTAAAAATGGTGCAGCACCATCAGAAGTGCACTCATTAGTGTAGTAGGTGAAGTATAGAAGTGTGTGGTTTGGGACGCGGCCTTAGATCATACAGTGAGACAGGAGATGTGATAACAATAATAAACCCAGGGATGAGGAGTAATTTTTTTTTCTAATTTTTGTTTTTTGGTCTGTTGTCCTGAGTCATGCTCCTCTCTGCAGGTGCGGGGCGCCATCTAGTGGACTGGCATGCACAGACATAACCAAGGAAGTCAGCTATGCAAATTAAATATAAGCAAATTCAGAGAGAACTGGCATATTTTACAGTAGTAATAAAATAGGTTATAGAAATGACTTGGGGCCGATCCATTTTTACCCCTACCCCTTGTTTTTGAGTGTCACTCTAACCCCTTGGAACTGAGTTACAGGGTAGTGGTTGAAATCTTCCCTCTGAAATGGGACCCTCAAATAAAAAGAGCATCACTTCATTAACGGCTACCAGCGCTGCTCTGTAGGCGACCCTGCCAGTCTGCAGTGACAGCAGAGGAGGGTAAAGTTCAGCTCCTCACTGCTGGGCTTTAGTTACATTTAGGGCATCATATGCCTTCAAAGAGGGGGGCAATTATTTATTATCACCCACTACTGATTCTTCAGTGATATGAAGCTGAAGTCAGAGATTCTCCAGATTCTCGTTCAGATTTTCCGGCTTTAAACAGATAATTTAATGCTTATTGTAATTTTTTTAACAGAAAATTCTCACATCTGTGGGTCTCTTTGGTCTCTTGCTCAGCCATCTTGCCTCCACTCTGTTTGGAGTCTCTGAAAAACCTCCGTTTGGAGGGTCATGTAGCCCCAACACTTCACCCCACCCCTCTATCTCAACAAGAATCAGGACACCCTACCCCTAGACGTGAGGGAAAAGGGCTAAGTGGTAGGGGCGAAGAGTGGGGTTGGGCCTTAATATTAAGTTAATACTTTAAGGGTTCTAGGGTTCTAGGAGGTGATATTGTGTTATCTGTGTCTTATCTGGAGTCTTTCAGCCCATAACATGGACAGATTCTACAATGATGTTTGATTCAGTTGGTACAGCCCGTTTATTGAAAAGAACAAGCAGCATGTATCCACCAATAGCCCAGATCTGAATCTCTCTCAGGTGACTTGTTTGTGTGTTTTTCTGTTGTGGTTTGTAGTTGAAGGTCTAACCGGGACTCCGCTGACCACGTCTGCCCGGATATCTGCCCTCAACATCGTCGGAGAGCTGCTGAGGAAAGTGGGGGTAGGTCTGCTCACAGCCTTATAACTGACCACTGTTTACAGGAACTGACCTGTTTTAAAGGTGCAAATTTTCCTTATTAAAATACTTCCAGACCTACACGCTTATAGATGATAGTTCAGGGGTTCTTAAGTGAAGACAATCATAGAACCATGAACGCTCAGAGAACCCTTGGCATGATTAAAGGGGTCCTTTGCATCGTAAAAGGGTGCTGTGGATGTTTCTAATATAGCACCCAAAAGAGTTATTATATTGTTACACTCAAAAATGACAGCTCCTTAAGGGTTCCTTGGTAAAGACAATGGTTCTATGAAGAACCCTGAACACTTAACCATTTTGCGTGATTAAAGGGTTTTTTTTAGCAGCACTAAATGGTTCTTCGCATCATTACATGGTTCTTCAGATTGATGGAGAATGTGCTATGGATGGTTCCTTTTTGAAAATGGTTCTGTATAGCACCCAAAAGGGTTCTGCTATTGTTGCGATGTCTTCAGATTGATGGAAAACGTGCATGCATGTGCAATAGACGGTTCTATGTAGAAGCTTTTTGAAAAGGGTTCTATATAGCACCCAAAAGAGTTATTATATTGTTACAAGCTTGACATAGTCACAACCCTCACAAGGAGAACCCTTTTGAGTGCTTCAAAAAGGTCCATATATATAGAACCACCTTTTTTATTGTAATAGTTCAGTAAAATGTTTCTGTACGAGTGATTCTCAGTATTTACATGAATTCTGTTCATCTTGTATCTTTTATTTTTGTTTTTATACATTTTTGTCTCCTGGGAAAAGTAAACAGAACAAACAGAACCGACATGTTGTGCTTGTAATTGCGGCGCTGTCGGCGTTCTATGACGCTCTGTTTTCTCTGGAACGTCTTGTGATGTCCGCGGCCACATTTAGTCCCTTTGAATGGAGCCATGGTTAAATCTGTAGCGACTCTCCGCCGGAGCTGGAGGGCCGGAGCGCTGCTGCGGCTTCACTGGGCTGTTTTCTACAGTCCACCTGATTCAGATGACTCGTGTCCTCTGGGTGGCACAGTTGGCTGCAGCACAGCTGCTGATTTATCCACACAGTCGCCCCATTCTTGCTTTAATTAACGTCTCGGTGCAGTTCCCTGCTTGTCCACTAGAGGCCCCTTCTGGCCTTCGTTAGTGCTGTTTTCCAGTCTCAGTGGTGCCTTCAGGCTGATGCACTCATTAATCAGAGCAGCTGAGGTCTTGCACTGCAATTTGACAAGCATTTGTTGCATTTTCATAAAAGTTCAGGTCCAGGATTATTATAACATTTATAAAAATTATATGAAACTGTAAGACTTTTTTTACAAATCATCATCACAATATGGTTTTTCTGAGATTTGATACGTTAGAACTGACAAAATAGAACCTTTAGTTCCACAGATAAAGATACTATAATAAACCTCCACTCTTAAAGATCTTGAAGGGTTCTTTAGTAAAGGAAACAGCTATATAAAGAACCATGAACACTCACAGAACCCTTCCATGCTTAAATGGTTCTTTGCATGGTGAAACGTTCTTCAGTTTGATGGAGAATGTGTTAAATATGGTTCTATATAGCACCTTTTCAAAAAGGGTCTTATATAGCACCAAAAAGGGTTCTTCTGTTACAACAAGTCTGACATCATAACAATAGAGGAAAATGTGGTGTATAGAACCATCTACAGCACATTCTCCATTAATCTGAAGAACCATTTCACAATGCAAAGAACCCTTTGCATGCTTACATGGTTCTTTGTATGGTAAAGGGGTTTTCAGATTGATGGAGAATGTATTGCATGTGGTTCTATATAGCACCTTTTTTGAGATGGGTTCTATACAGCACCAAAAAGGGTTCTTCTGTTACAACAAGTCTGACATCATAACAATAGAGGAACCCTTTCGAAAAGGTGCTGTATAGAACCGTCTACAGCACATTCTCCATTAATTTGAAGAACCATTTCACGATACAAAGAACCCTTTAATCATGCAAAGAGTTTTTTTGAGTGTACGTGGTTCTATATAGAACCATTTTCTTTGCTTAAAAAAAAACCCTTGAAGAACCATCTGTTCTAAGAGTGAAGAACTACACTGACTCTTATGCGGTACTGCGGTAAATCCAGTTAAACTGATTCTGCTCTCTTTCTAATGAAACGTAGTCAGAGTTCTTTAAGTACCGACGATATCCACGATGAAATGTTCTCATAATTCCCACTCCTAGTTCCAAAGTGCTAGGTCTTTGTTGTAAAGGACTGGAGCAGCAGATTTTGAGCGTCTGTCATAAGTGGAAACACTGATGGTTCAGACTCATCAGATCATTAATCAGACCATTTTCACTTACCGCGTTAAATTCAGACAGTTGGTCTGCGTCAGTTTATCGCAGCTGTCGGAACAAAACCTGGTAAAAAATGGTAAATTTACAGGAGAAGAAAAAAACGGCTTCACTTTTAATGTAAGTCAGTGGAACCAGACTTTTTTCCAAGTCATTTTGGGACGTTTTTCATGGTTCAATCTTCATGAAATTTACACACGATGTAAAGAGCAACAGGCGTTTTCAAATGATGTCAAAAACTGGAAAACGACAAAAATGATTTTTCAGGTGGCCACACAGGAATCATCTGTCAAACTTTTGCACTGTAAAAGTAATAACAACCCGACTTGTCTGTTAAATATGTGGGTTTTTTGTTTATATTTTCTCTTTTTCCAGAATTTAGAGTCAAAGCTGGCATCGTGTCGTGAGTTACACGTGCAGGACAGAACGCCGAGCCGCTCGCTGATCACCCAGAGCGCACAGACAGCGTCACGGGAGACGATAGAGAACCAGTCCAACGGCAACGGCCTCTACGACAAGGGGTGAGTGACTCTGACTCTGCTGCACTGTCAGATGGGCTGATTTGGTGGAGATCGAAATCGATTACATTACTTTGTCTTTAGTGCTGATATTCACAAAGCAGCAGTGTTGGAAAAACAGATGTTGTTCTGTGCCTTGTGGAGGAATTGGTGTAATCAGTAACATTTAAATATAAATAAATCAATAAATAAATGGAATATCTGGTTTGTTGTCGACTGTATCGTCATAACGTTGCTGCACCAGAGCAACAGCGCTGATCTCAGAGCAGATTCCCCCAGTGTTTGTCACTCAGGGTCGTCATCAGCCAGGATTCAACAGTAACGATTGCCTGAATGCCTGTGGCAAGTAAAACACGACAGCAGGACAGCAGCGCGAAAAATAACCTGCCCGATCGAGAAAGTTCATGTTGGGGGGGCGGGGTTTGTGTTAACAGAGCACTGTAACTGAGGCCACCTGAATATCCAACCCCTCGCCATGCGAAAATGGTCTAATCCATTTATTCCAGTAGGGCTGCAACCAACGACTAATTTGATGGTCAAATAATCTATCGATTACTGAAACGATTAATCGATTATTCGGATTATGAATTTTATTAGCTTTTACGTTTAGCTGGAGGTTGTTTTATGCATTTGCTAACCAACAATGAAGACAAAGGTGAATAATCAGAATTTAACTGTAAAATTTAAACAGTGCAGGCTGTGATCTGTTCACTCCGCTGTCTGTCTGCACTTTGCTGCAACTAAACTCTACAGTCACAGGTCTTTATGGAAACGGAGGAAAGTCAGCGTCTCTCTGTGCTCTTGTGAGAGACTCGATCTCCTCTGAGAGCAGAAACTCCCACTGCAGAGGAGACGCGCTGTGGAGAACGTTTGTGGCAGTTTGTTCTCTATGAACAGTTAAATTGTACTGACTTTGTGTAAACATTTCATTTCAGTGGTAAGCCTTCGTCCAGCTGCCCTGTGTGTTTGCGAGTGGTGGCCAAGCAGCATCTTAGCAAGCATAAGCTGCACAGTCACTGCATTTTCATCAGGAAGTGCCCATTTCTGTTGTTTGGTATTTTTGCCAACGCTGGACTGCAGGTTTTATATGGTCATCTCAGGGTCACACATTCTCCTAATCCCTTTGTTTCTGTTCCACAGGATGGTGAAGCGGCTGGACTTCAGTCAGGGATCTAAGATCGTGCTGTGAATGAGTCCGTCGGCCCCCCGGCTCGGACCCCCTCCTGCACACAGTATTAACCACCAACGTCTCTTAATGCACAATAACACATTCGTTTTAATGAACTGATGTGTGGCTATCGCTAACTCTCCATGTCCCTCTTCCTGCTGGCCCTGCAGTACGAAGGGTGTTTGGACCACATGAACGTTTCCCTGCTTTATTACTACTGTCAGAGCAGCACTGCTGACTCAGAGTCTTTGTCCTGCGTTGCTGTGTATATATTTACGGCCTATTTTTGTCCGCTGACTCTGTCTCTAACACTGGGCTCGAGTTAACTCGCTTCTGCTTAGATGTCTGTTTGTCTATCAGGTGATATATTTGGTCTGATGTTTTCTTTTCTTTGTGTTTCCTGCAACTTGATGCCTTTATGATGAGGCCAAAGATGGTGTGCGGTGGGTGATGACTATACGTTTACTGAATGGCTTGGCAGGTGGAAATGATCGAACACGGTGAGGTCAGGATGTTAGAATAGTCAAGTAATCATGAAAGTTTAAAAATGAGGGTGTAAATCAGCTTCTGTGTAATGTTATACATTTCCAGCTCTTGCATATGAGCTGTGTGAACTCTAAACACCACTAGAGGGCAGTGTAGAGCCTGCTTCTTACCTTCTGATCAGAGTTTTATCAGAGCTGGTTTATGAGGAGCCAGGCCACTTATTTCCACTGTTATATCAAAAACAGGACTGCTGAACAGCAGAGGGCGCCCGCGAGCGAGTCCTCAATGAATGGGACTAAATGGAGCTCAATGGCTTAAAAACAAGAAGTTAAAATAGTTTCTAATCACTGAACCAGAACTTTCCTTTAATTTTAGAAATTTGAAGAATGAGTTTCACTAAAAAAGTAGAGAAATCTCACCTGTATGTTTCCTTTTTCTACAGCAAACAGGTTTTGGGCGGCAGGACGTTAACATTACTGCTGCTGAGTGCTGATTGGTTGGTGAGCGGAGCAGCTCATTGGCTGTTCGCGCTCTCTGACGTCATGAATGTACATGAGGTGCCGTTTTAAACTCCTATAACTCGAGTTTAAAAGCTCTTAAAAATATAACAGCAGTGTTAAAATGTTTTATGCTGTTCTGTTCAGGAAAATGAATGAATTCCTTTACATTAAAAATGTTTCAGCATTTATAAACTATGATTTTGCTCAAATGCTCCATATCAACCCATTCATTTTGGACTCGCTCTGGAGCGCCCTCTAGTGTTTGAGAAACCCAGAAGACATTAGAGTGTAATTCTAATGTCTAAACCAGTGTTTAGTCCAAAGAAGAAAACTAAGACTACTGCAGCTGGCCGAAGGCTGAGAGGCGCTGCTCGCTGCCTGAAAGCAGATAGAACACAAATAATGGCTTTCGACTCCAAATACCAAATTCAGATGTCCGTCTCTGCTGGAGTCCCCGCTTTAGTGTTGGGTTAGGATCAGATTGGGCTCGTCTAAATCCGAACGTGAGGCTGTTTGTGGAAAGGAGGCCCATCTTGGTTCTGAACCGCTGAAGGCGTCTGATGCAGCGTTTTCCTCGGCCTGTGGTGAACCTGCCCAGGTTCAGCTGTTCTGGGGCCGGATTCACGAAAGCTTCTTAAGAAAAAAGCTTGTGAAGGTTCTTAAGACAAACACTAAGAAGTTCACAAGAATGTTCTTAAGTGCAGTTCTCGGAAAAAAACTTCTCAAATATTCTCTTAAGGTAATCCTAATTATTTTCTCAAGACTTTTAGATAATCTTCATGTTTTTTTTTATGCCGGCTACGTTTAATTTTACCACGTACCATAAACGACACAACACGTTTTGAATTTGTATGAACTGTTATTTAGTTTAATCCACTCAGAGGAGCAAAATGGGGGAAAAACATCAAACCAAGCGTTTAAAATCAATTAGCAAACAAGAAGCAGAGCTGATGGAGGAAGAAACAGCCAACAGGAAAAAATCCTCTTTAAAAATATTGTGGAGTGACGGACGATGAGCAGCCGAGGCCGCGTCCGAGATGAATTGAGATGATGACCTTGCCAGCTCTCACAGCCTGAGACGAGCTGAGTCTGTCGTAAGGTTAAGAACATTATATTTCCAAAAATACCACTTGTTCTCAGATTTAATCTTGAGAAGATAGTTAAGAAAAGAAAATGAGAGAATTCGTAAGAAGTCACTTGAAGAATAACATGAATATATACATACATACATCATCTAAACCGCTTATCCTTCTGGGTCGCGGTGGGGTGCTGGAGCCTATTGAAGAATAACAATTTCTCGTAACTTTTTTTCCTGAGAATGAAGTAAAAAACACACTGAAGAAGATTTTCTTTCTTAAGACACTTTCGTGAATCCGGCCCAAGTCGTTATTAAAGGACAAGTGTGGTGACCGATAAACGTCTCCCCCTCTTCACCCCAAACGTAGTCCACCCAGACACGTTCGCTTCTTTGGTTTCAGCTCTGGAGTTACGAGGTTAGCTTGGTGTGTGTGGAGTTGTTCATTGATCTCTAATTAGACTTGATTTTCGCTGCTGTTGGAACAAAACCTCGTATCTGTTTTATTCAGTTTTGACATAAATTGGAAATGCCTGTTGCTCTTAATGTGGAGTGTGTCTACCTGCACTCAATAATCCAATAACTGCAGAAAATCAGATTGTCAGTATGTTTTTATGCACTTGAGTAATCAGATAATGGGGAAACTCTGGGTCTACGTGAGTCAGACAGTAATCAGATTTCTGCTTTGCAACCAGCCAATAAACTCACAGAACACGACGTGACATAAACGTAACGTAAAACTCAAACTTAATGAACAGCTTTTTTAAAAACATCGAGCCACTTTACCTGAAAATATGAACCGACATCATCTAGAAGATTAAATATATTTAAATCCTTCATGTCGTCAAGCATGTATTTGGTTTCAGCGTCGCTTATTATTTCCGGCAACGCCGTCTGTTTCGCACATGCTCAGACTGAGGGAAATGAAAGAAATCAGAGTAAGAGTTCACATGCACTGATTATCTGAATCCAGCCTCTTTATCAGATTTCTAGACCTTATTCTGATCTAAGAAATCAGAGTGTGCTGTTTACACGACCATTTGAATGATCAGATAACTGCAGAAATCCGATTTAAAAAAAAAAAAATAATGATCTGATTATTGAGTGCATATAGATGCCCTCGCTCTGTGTGATTTCATAATGAATGGACCAAAAGAAATGACCTAAAATGACCACGACAAAGGTCTGGTTCCACTGACTTGCATTAAGTGAAGTTTTTTTCCGTTCTCCTGTGAAGTTTCCATTTTGGAGATATCTTTTGATCCGACAGCAGCGATTATGTGGTTTCTGACACTGTATGACTCACTGTTATGTATAAACATGGACTAAAGTACATTAGCGTGGCTAAAAGCACCAGCAGCAGTGTTTGCGTATCTGATATCGGCTTCAATGCCGAACTAAAGAAGCAGACCTCAGACCCTGGACGTCTCGGCTGATCAGCTACATTTGGAGGAAGGGAGAAAACTGTACATCTGATTTTTCACCACTATTTTCAGCCTTTTATGGGTTTATTAGAGCAAGAAAACATGGACCACTGAATGGACTACAGGGCTGCTACGCTCTGTGTTAATGCAAGAAGCAGCCTCTCCAGGTATTTATCACACAAATTCAACCAACTCTCGCAATATTTGCAAGAGCTTGTGATTTTTTTGACATTTTGACAGTTAAAGCCGTAAATAATGCAGAAAAAATGTGCAATTTTGCCATAAATTTGCTTGAATTTCGATCACAAATCCCTGCAGAGGCTGATCAAGCTACACTGCCTCTAAGGCAGCCTGACTCTGGCACTCTTAGAATAATAATTCCACTGAACTGAAACCTGAATGATTCCACCACAGTGGACAGTGAGCACTGCCCGCTGGATTCCACTGACTGGACAGTGAGATTGTAAATGTATTACTCGGATGCTCGACTGTATTTTTATGAACTAAAAGTAGTTTTTTGTTACTAACAACCTGCCTGTTATCCTCAACATTCAGCAGCACAGTTTAGAGGTAGAGGTGACTTAGGGATGATTAGTCTGGAGCTGAAGCTGCTCTGTGTGCTCATGTATTTCCCGGTTGCTGGTGTTCACTGCAAAAAATGGCACTTTGTCAAGTCAAATTATCCTAAATATAGTCAGTAAATCTAATATTTCTCCTGTTGAGATTGTCGTAAACTTAATTTAAGATTATTTAACTTATTTATAGACATTTTTTACTTGTTTTAAGTTATTTTATTTGGAGAATTTACTATATTACTATATCAGCTTGTTGTAAAACGTGCTTGAAACAAACAAAGCATTACTACCTGCCACTGTAGTGAGAATTTTGCTGGATGAAATCACCTAAAACAAGTAAATAATGTCTAGAAATGAGAAATGATCTTGTCAGTGCCCCCCACAGTGGGAAATATTAGATATATCGACTAGATTTAAGATCATTTCAGCAAAACTATCTGCCAGTACAGTGAGAATTTTACTGTAAAATCACCTAAAAGAAGTAAATAATGTCTAGAAATAAGCTGGATAATCTTATCAGTGCACAACCGTCTCACAGTGGGAAATATCAGATATATTCACTTGATTTAAGTTCATTTCACTTGGGAAGATACTGTGTTTTGCAGTGAGAGTAACTGAGATGCAGAATGACCAGCTGGACTTCATTACTGACCAGTAGTGACTCCACTGGCTCCTCTTTATTAGCCGTGCACATCTAATCTTTGATTTCAAAGAGTTATTTTTTTGTGTTGAGAGCTGAAGTTTGTGTTGCTTGTTTTTTTGTTTGTTTGTTTTTGTTTTGTTTTCTTGGTTTTTCGTTACATTTGCTGACCACAAACTTGTGCCTTAATGTTTGTTTTCCCAGCCAGCTTAAAGGACCAGTTTGTGAAAAAATCGAATGTAGATATCCCCCCATTAAACCCCCCCCCCCGCACCCGATGTCCCAAATGTGGCCGATCGGTCAGGACATGTTCACTGTCTGTGAGCTCATGTAGACTCTTAAAAACAGGTTCTTCATGGGTTCTTTAGTAAAGAAAATGGTTCTACATAGACCCATGAACTCTCGAATAACCATTTTCTTTACTGCAAGATGATGCAAAGATCACCACGAAAGGGTCCTTCAAGTTGATGTGCTGTAGATGGTTCTATATAGAACCATGAACACTCGAGAACCATTTGCATGATTGTAGGGTTCTCTGCATCATGAAGTGGTTCTTTAGATTGATGGAGAATGTGCTGTAGATGGTTCTATATAGAACCTTTTTGTAAAGGGTTCCCTATGTTACAAGCTTGATATCTAAAAGAAAATATGGTTCTTCATGGGTTCTTTAGTAAAGAAAAAGATTCTATACAGAACCATGAACACTCAAGAACAATTTGCATGATTGAAGGGTTCTTTGCATCATGAAATGGTTCTTTAGATTGATGGAGAACGTGATGTGTATGGTTCTATATGGCACCCAAAAGAGGTCTTCTGTTGCCACAAGCTTGACATCGTAACAATAGAGGAACGCTTTTTGGTGCTATGTAGAACCATTTTCAAAAAGGAACCATCTGTAGCACGTTCTCCATCGATTTAATGATGAGAAGAACCCTTTAACCACACACAGGGTTCTTTCAGTGTTCATGGCTCTCTATAGAACCATTTTCTTTACTAAAGAACCCTTAAGGAACCATAATTTTTGAGTGTAACAATAGAAGAACCCTTTTGGGTGCTATATAGAACCATGTCCAGCACATTCTGAAGAGCCCTTTCATGATGCGAAGAACCGTGTAATCATGCACAGGGTTCTTTGAGCGTTCATGTTTCTATATAGAACCATTTTCTTTACTAAAGAAGCCACATGGGGCAGGAAGGGGGAGTCGGGTAAATTTTGAAATTTTACCAAACTATCGCTTTAACCCCAAATAAGCGGAGTTACCGGCAGGATAAAAAGGGTTCTTTAGG